TTTTTTATAATTTAAACTTAATTTTTTTTCATAATTTTAACTTAAATATTTTTTATTAAAAAATTAAAACTTTTTTTTATAATTAAAATATTAAAAAAATTAAAACCTTTTTTTTATAATTATATTTTTTATTAAAAAAATTAAAACCTTTTTTTATAATTAAAATATTAAAAAATTAAAACCTTTTCGTAAGGAACTCTTGATGTTTGATATTTGTCGTGTCATTTTATGTATCCTTTTATTACTTTTCTTTCTTTTGGCATTTCATGTGCATGCTCGAGGTTGAGATGTGCTTGTGGTGGCCACAACCCCACACTATTTTCCTCCCTCACTTCATTCTAAGTGTCATTGCATATTTTCATATTCTTCATGTTTTCAGAAATGTTTCTTTGTTTCTTTATACCCTCTGCCTTTATTACTTTTCTTATTTTTGTACCTTAATTATTCCTCCATATAATGATTTGTCATATTTTCACATTTTTTACAGTTTTATCCTTCCGAAGGATTAGGTCCAGCCTTTTGGCCGCCGAGTCAATAGCCTTACCCCTTTAATGGATCAAACCCTGTTTAGCCTAGGTGTCCCGCCGTAGGCAAAATTGCTTTTATCCTAGTGTTAGGCCAAAAGAGTCGTCGTACTCTGTTTTAAGGTTTTCCGCCGTGGAATCCCTAATTTACCCTATTTTAATTTTAATTAACATTTTTTATAACATAGAGATCGGAGTTTAAGATTCCATGTAAGCGTGTCCTTAAGATGCGTTTATTCCCCATTGAAACCTTGGCCACAGTCAAGACGTTTCTAACCTCCCTTTTGAGGGGAACTACAGTTACTCTGATTCCATTCCCGTAAGGATATGTAGGCACAAGATGCGATGTCTTGCCGAGTAAACTTAGAATTAACCCCTAGGTCTTTTTTAATTTTCAATCCTTTGTATATACCCTAAAGCAAAATAATTAATGAAATAAATAAAAAAAAATAAACAAAAGGTTCCCGTAGAGTACTACGGAAGTTTAGGGTGCTAATACCTTCCCTAAATTTAACCAACCCCCGAACCTTAGATCTCTCCCTTTTAGGTTTTTCCTTTCTTTAACCTTTCCTTCGGATAAATCAAAGACCGGTTGCAAATGAATTAAGATTCAAGTTAATCAATAGCTTGACATCCAAATTTCACCGCAACAGGCATGTTTGGCAATTGGCATTAGAATGGGAAGAGAAAAAACACGCATGAGCTGAGAAACGCGGTTGAAGCAACAAGAGCAAGAACGATCAAGAGCGGGGAAAGAGTGCATCAAGCTGCGATTTTTGTGAAGCTTCATCATCATCAGAATAAAATTTGAGGTAAGGGGGGGATTGATCGGTTAAATTTCGGTATTGCATGAAAAGTTGGTAGAAAGGGGGATTCCATAAACCCTATAGATTAATGATGAATTGATGTTGTTGCATGTCGATGATTCTGTTAGAATTGTGATTATTGTGTTGGATTTTCGTTGCATGTGCCGTAGAATGTTGTTTGGGTGAATTGAGGGTTTCGGAGTAGGATGTAGCTCTGAGCCGAAAGTTGAAGAATCGAGTAGAACTGACGATTCATCGAGTATGAACTAGGATAATCGGTGTAGTCTTGTTGGATAGTACCATACTGGTATAATGTAGGATTTCGTGGGATTTAATCGGACGAAATCAGAGTGTGGGGCTGTTTCTGAGCAGCAGATTTTTTGCAGAATTCGCGGGCATTCGTTGGGCGAATAGGGGCGAGCCTTCGCCAGGCGAACTAGGCAACGAACGCTGTCAGTAGCCTCTGTTTGATTTCGCCAGGAGTTTCGTTGGGCGAGTTCCAGCGAGTGTTTGTTGCGGGGCTTCGCCAGGCGAATGGCAGCGAGTGTTCGCTGCAGGGCTTCGCCAGGCGAATGCGCCAGCGAGCCCGACAACAGTTTGTGTTTTGCTGTTGGTCGGTGTTGGTTTCCTTGTGGTTTTGGACCCTTGTTGGTCATGCTTGGTGAGGAGCTTATTAGTGAGCTGTGGTGAGTGTATGTTTGGTGTCGGAATATGATTCGATGATATCTGTGTGACTCTGATAGTACAATGGTGTATGTTGCGATGGATGACTGTGCTGATGAAGTGAGATATCTTTGAATATGATAGTGTGTGATACAGGAGTGTGATTCTCGTGGGAATTGTATAACTGAATAAGTGATCTGATATACGTTATGAGTGCGTGTGATATTGTAAGAAAGTCTTGAGATATTGTTGTATGAGATTCCTGTGACAGGTGGCGAGCATAGCAGGACCTTGTTTTCCTTGGAACTGTGTGCAGCTGTTGATGCTGAGCATGGTCGGTCTGAGGTACCGTGATGATTTATGGGTGCTGAGTGTATGTTGGGTGTTAGAGGGCTATGTGGCCGACGTTCAACGCATCCGACGGGATCGGTGGATTATGTGGTATAATTGTATGTGTGTGCTATAAGTTGTGTGACGAGGGGATCAGTAAGATCGATACGCCCTGTGTGCGTAGTGCTTATATGTTGAGTGACCGTGGATCAGTAGGATCAATATGACTTTTGTGCATATTGTGCGATATGTTGTGTGGTAGTGGTGATCAGTAGGATCGATGCACTTTGTGCGCTTGTGTGTATATGCATTATATGATGCGATGGATCAGTAGGATCGTGGGTACTGTGTGTACCGTGTGATTATGCTTAGTGCCTTGTATAGTATGTGGACGTGGTGAATCATGGCTCGGTGGTGTGTATGTGATTCACACACGTGCTCCAAGTGGGGAGTGTGGACGTGAGGTATGATTTACTCACGTGCTCCATGTGGGGAGCGTGGGCGCGGTGTATGATTTACTCGCGTGCTCCTGTGGGGAGCGTGGACGGGAATTTGGATCGTTGCTCGGAAGGAGTGTATGCGACCACCCGTGTCCCAATAGGGTAACATTGAGATTTGATTATATGAGCTCAGGAGGAGCGTGGTAGGGATAGATCATTTCCTAGAGGGAGTGTATGCGATCTATCTTGAGTTGAGTCGGTACCGCATTTTGTTGAGTCTAGTGCATGTGTTGCATAGTGAGTTGTATGTGTTGTGATTGATGATGATGAGACAGTAGGTCCGAATATGTGGTTTATGAAATAAGATTTATTGTTTCTGCCATTTATTTCATGTATGTTTATACCGTTAATATTTAATCGTGATTCTCACCCCTCTGTTGTTGTTGTTGTTGTTGTGGTTTGTGATTCTTCGGAAGTACAGACAATCCAGGTGTTTAGCTAGCTTGGATTGTGGCGTCGTCGTAGGATTGCTTTGATACGTAACACCGGGGCTTTTTGGGGAGATAATGTTTATTGTTGATTATGTATGTCCCTGTGGCGTATCTGGTTTTTGTAGGATATGTGTTGATGTATGACAGTTATATATTTTAGGCAGATGGCCGATTTTTGTGTATATCTGATGATGTATATATACATAGTATGTGGTTTATGACAGACTATCCTTATTTTCCGCTGCAATATTACTGAAAATTATTTTGAAAAATGATATGTGTAATTTTGTGGAAAATTGTGACATCCTGTTGTGGGAGAGACTCTGATGTGTGTTTACGGTACTTGTTTTATTTTATCTTGGGAAACGGGGTGTTACACACACTATTCATCCGTACGGACTCCACTATTCATCTGTACGGATAATACTATTCACCGACCGTTTTTTTTAATAGTTTTCGTCCGACTTTCTAAAACTTCAGATTTTCGCGGTAAATGAAATTTCCGAAATATATTTTTCTTTCTCTTCATCAACAAAGATTTTAAAGAACATTTACAGCAAAAATCGTAAAACATTTTATTTGACTCGTGGGCATGTCATATGCCTAATTTAATATATTTCCTTTGTTGTTTCAAAAATAAAAAGGGAAGAGAGAGTAACCTTTCTCTAGAATGTCAGGTTCAATTTCTCAGGCATACTATTGGAGTAATTTAGGGCTACGCATTGGTTTCAACTATCAACACTTCAAAAAAATATTGACCAAAATTACTTCAGTGTCCTTTCCTTTAAAATTAATTACACTACCAATTGGACAAATAAGTAATTAACAAATGTAACAAATAAATCTCACACAAACTTCTATTTGCATGACAAATGTCAATTAACCATTGGCTACCTCAAATTTCTCCCTTCCCGCTAAAACCATTTCACAACCCTCTTCTTTTCTCTTCCATTTTCTCTCTCCAATTTTCCATGTCTTTCTCCCATAAACCCTAATTCCGCCGCCCCCTCTCTCTCTCCCTCCCGTTTTCTCTCATCTATCTTCCCTTATCTCTTCCCTCAAACCTTGCACTGCCGCCATCTACGATGACCATCACCTCATTTGAGTCCAAGGTTCTTTTTATTCTCATTTCTTCTATTATGAAAGTTTGTTTCTTTTTTGTGGTTTGTTGAACTAAAAGAGCTCAAGATTATATTTTCGGGTTTGTTGATGTAACTTTATTTATGAAAAAAAATTGTTTATGATTTTATATACTATTTTTTTGCGTTAATTTTCCATGTATCTCACCCAAATCGAACCAGTCAAAGCTTTTGTGTTGTTCAAGCTTTCTGTCAATCTTTCAGACAAAATTTCTGTGTTGTTCAAGCTTTCTGTTCAATCTTTCAGACAAAATGGAAGTTAAAATAGTCTTTGTTTGTATCTGTGTTGTTAAAAGGTTCCTTTGAAAAGGGTATTTTTCATTTGTGTTTCCAATTTTTTGATTTCGGACGCTCTGGTGTGTTTATTTTTCTAAACTATATATATTTTTAAATGATTTCCTTTTCATTTTCATAAGCAGTTTTGTATAGTTCTATGATAATCGTTTTAATATTTTTCTTTTGTGGTTTGTGTTTTGTCAGTATGTTCTAGGTGAAGACACTCACTTAATCACTAGTTCTGGAGATCAGACATGTGTTTTATGGGATATTACTACTGGCCTTAGAACATCTGTTTTTGGAGGTGAGTTTCAGTCTGGACATACTGCAGATGTACTTAGTCAAGAGAATTGGAGCTGCAACCGCACTTGAAGTTAGAGCAACCGGAACTCAGTATGCTTATGCACCTTGTGTAGCAGTAAGTAAATGTCTCCGACTTCAAATGCTATCAATTTTTACTGAGATTTTAGAGTTGTTTTATATTCTTGATAGGTAGAGATCCAAGATGGGGTCGGTGTTATGAAAGCTACAGCGAAGATCCTAAAGTGGTTCAAGCTATGATTGATATCATATCAGGACTGCAAGGGGACATTCCTGATAATTAAAAGAAATAGAATAGAAACGTAAGCTAGAATACTTGATCGTTTATTCAAAAGACTGCTATTGCTTTTATAAAGCCTTACAATTTAAGTGTAACTGAAATAGAGAAAAATAAGGAAAACAGAATATAACAAACTGGAATAAATCAACTCCTAAAAACTAGCTTATTAAGACCTATTCTCTAGCTTTAACGGTAAACCCAACAAATTCCTCCCCTTAAACTGACACATGCTTAACGAGCATCAGTTTACTCCTCAGGTCGTTGAACACCAAGCAAACCTCTAAGTTTCACAAACTGATCCAACTTAATAGGTTTAGTCATGATGTCTGCCACTTGATCATCAGTTCCACAAAATGCTAACTTCACAGCTCCTTCACTTGATAAATTGCGTAGATAATGATATCTAACATCAATGTGTTTTGTCCTTCGATGCATCACTGGATTCTTGGATAGTTTAATTGCCGAACTGTTATCACACATTATGTGAATGCAATTACAGTCTTTGAAGCTTAACTCTTTCAAAATTCCTTTCAGCCAGACGCAATGACATGCGCAGGCAGTGGCAGCTACATACTCAGCCTCTGTAGATGAGAGAGTCACTATCCCTTGTTTTCTTGAACTCCAACAGATTGCTGCTCCATTTAGTAGAAATACATAGCCCGAAGTACTTTTTCTATCGTCCACATCTCGTGCGTAGTCGCTGTCTGTGTATCCCAGCAGATTCGCATTTGTGCTTTTCTTGTAAAAAATTCCCAGTTCCAGTGTTCCTTTCAAATACCTCAGTACCCGCTTTGCAATCGACATGTGTTCTTCTTTAGGTTCAGCCATATAACGAGAGATTAAGCATACCACAAACATTAAATCCGGACGCGTTACCGTTAGATACATTAAGCACCCTACTAGTTGTTTGTACAATATTGCATCAGCACCGTTGCTGCCTTCCTTTGACAGAACAGTACCAGGAACAATTGGATTCTTGACAGCATTACAACTCCACATATGGAACCTTTGCAAGACTTCCTTAGCATACTTCTTTTGGCACAAGTGAATTCCATCTTTACGCTGATAGATTTCAACTCCAAGAAAAAACTTCATTTTGCCCAAGTCTGTCATCTCGAACTCCTTCTGCATTGACAACTTGAACTCTATGCACATATGCTCATCATTTCCGGTATATATTAAATCGTCAACGTAAAGACTTACCGCCAATAGCTTGTTTCCATTTTTCTTCAAGAACAAGGTGTGATCATAGTTGCTTTTCTGAAACCCTTCCTTCTTAAAGTGACTCTCGATTCTGCTGAACCAAGCTCTTGGGGCTTGCTTTAAGCCATAGAGCGCCTTCTTTAGCCGATACACCTTATCTTCCTCTCCCTTTTTGATAAACCCTTCCGGTTGATCGATGTATACCTCCTCCTTTAATTCTCCGTACAAAAAAGCACTTTTAACGTCAAGTTGGTAGACACACCAACCACGCTGAGCTGCTACTGCCAGGAGAATTCTGATGGTATCCCAACGAGCCACCGGTGCATACACTTCATTGTAGTCTACTCCTGCTGTTTGTGAATACCCTTTGGCAACTAGTCTAGCTTTGCACTTGTCCACCTTACCTTCTTCATTCAATTTTGTTTTGTATACCCATTTAACACCAATTTTTTTTGCTTGATGTGGCAGTGACACAAGCTCCCAAGTCTGGTTTCTCTCTATAGCTTGAATTTCAAGCTTCATGGCCTCCTGCCATTTTTCTTCCTTCGCAGCTTCATCAAAACTTACTGGATCATCATGAGAGATATACAAGGCTAAGTTTTGTTCTGGTACCTCTTCTTCAGATAAGCCTTCACCGCTTTCATAATTACTCATCCAACTAGGCTTCCTTCTCTCTCTTCTTGTTCGTTCTTCAGGTACTGACTCTTCAGTTTCTGGAAACTCCGTTGCACTGTCGTATTCAATTTCTTCAACATCCTCATCAGTATCTTCTGCTTCAGGTTCTTCTGTCACAACTTCATCTTCTCCCCATGCAAGAACATTTTGCTTTACGTCTGTTGCGTTCAAGTTCCAATCCCATTTACCGCCTTCTTCGAATATGACATCCCTACTTATAATTATCCTTTTTGTTACCGGATCATACAGCCGGTAAGCTTTAGATTCCTCACTGACCCCAAGCAAGATGCATTTGTGACTTCGATCGTCAAGTTTGACTCTTTTCTGTTCAGGGACATGTACATGTGCAATGGAGCCAAATACTCTGAAGTAGTCCACCTTTGGTTTTATTCCTGTCCACCTTTCTTCAGGTACCATATCTTTTACCGCCTTTGTAAAACTTCGATTCAAGACGTGAGCCGTCCATCTCGCTGCATCTGGCCATAGGGATCTCGGCATCTCCTTCTCAGATAACAAACAGCGCACCATGTTCATGATGGTTCGATTCCTTCTTTCTGCCACTCCGTTTTGCTGTGGAGTGTATGCCGCTGTCAATTGTCGCCTTATGCCATGATCCTTGCAGAACTGGTTGAATTTATTTGACGTAAATTCTCCTCCCCTGTCAGTTCTTAGTCCGCATATGGAAGTCCTTGCTTCCTTTTCAACAAAACTTTTGAAGGTTTTAAATGCCTCAAAGGATTCTGCTTTCTCTGCAAGAAAATAGATCCAAGTTTTCCGAGAGAAATCGTCTACAAACACTAACAAATACCTCTTACCACTGTGAGAGATTGGAGTGATTGGTCCACACAGATCTCCATGAATTAACTCCAATTTCTCTGATGCCCTCCAGCCACTTTTCTTCGGAAATTTCCCCCGCTGCTGCTTTCCCACATTGCATACCTTGCAAATCTTGGTTGCTTCTTTCAACTTTGGTAACCCTTTTACCATTTGTTTTTGCTGCATTATTTGGATGGACTTGTTATTTAAATGCCCATATCTCTTGTGCCAGAGATTCTCCAAGTCTTCTTCCTCCATCTTCAAACAACTGCCGGGCAGTGGTTTCATCTTTGCATAGACCACGAACATACGATTCATAGTCATTGGAGTGTCTACTATCAAACCTCTTTGATGATGATAGATTCTGCAAGTACCCTCTTTAATTATGATCACTAAGCGTTTCTCCTGTAGCTGTCCTATGCTTAATAGGTTGTTGCTGAGATTTGGAACATAATAGACGTCAGACACGGTTTGTGTGATTCCTTGTACTTCAAACCTGACGCTGCCTTTTCCTTGAACCGCCATCCTTGAGCTGTTACCCAATCTGACAGAATGCTTGAAGCTTTCGTCAAACTCAACAAACCAAGTTTTGTCTCCTGTCATATGGTTTGAACACCCAGAGTCGAGAAACCAAATACCTTTTCCTTCAGATTTACTGACTTCTGTGTGTGCCATTAAGAGGAGTTCTTCTTCCTCGTCGAACTCGGTATAATTGACTCCTTTTTCCAGACTTGAGCATTCAAATTGATAATGTCCTTGCTTTCCACATCGAAAGCAATTAATGGCTGACCTGTTAACGAAAGATCTACCTCTTCCTCGTCCTCTAAAGTTGCCGCCTCTGAAGTTACCGCTTCTAGAGTTGCCATTTCCTCTCTGATATATGCCTCTGCCTCTTCCTTGTACATTCCTTTGCTCGTTCTCCACATGTAGAACTTGTTCTTCACTTCTTTTCTCAATCACCTTTTGTTCATGTACAAGCAGAGATGCTTGCAATTCATCTACTGTCATATCATCAATGTCCTTGGACTCTTCGATGGAGCATACCACAAAGTTGAAGTTGTCCGTAAGACTTCGAAGTATTTTTTCAACAATTTTAACATCGTTCATGTTTTCTCCACAGTTCCTCATTTCATTGGCAGTAGACATGACTCTTGCGAAGTACTCAGAAACACCTTCTCCCAATTTCATTTCTAGGGTTTCAAATGTTCTGCGAAGCCGTTGTAACTGTGCACGCTTCACTCTAGCACCTCCCTGATACTTGACTTTCATTGAATCCCACAACTGTTTGGCTGTTTCCTTCTGGGTGATGGTTTTCAAGATGCTCTTGTCTATGGACTGAAAAAGATAGTTCTTTGCTTTGAGATCTTTGAGTTTTGCTTCGTCGAGTGCCTTCGCGCTTATGCCTTCGGTCCCCTTCAACTCTTCGAGCCCTGGTTCAATGACGCTCCAGTACTCCTTGGAGCGGAGGAGATTTTCCATAAGTAAGCTCCAGTGATCATAGTCACCATCGAACTTCGGAACGCATGGTGTTGAGAAACTTTCTGCTGCCATTTTTCCTTTCTTCTGTGTTTTTCCTCTCAAACACTATTGCAGACTTTCCCTACTTCCTCTCAGTGTTTTTCCTCTCAAACACTCAATTTGTATATTACTATTATCAGGCCCTTTCGAGCTCTGATGCCAGATAAAAGAAATAGAATAGAAACGTAAGCTAGAATACTTGATCGTTTATTCAAAAGACTGCTATTGCTTTTATAAAGCCTTACAATTTAAGTGTAACTGAAATAGAGAAAAATAAGGAAAACAGAATATAACAAACTGGAATAAATCAACTCCTAAAAACTAGCTTATTAAGACCTATTCTCTAGCTTTAACGGTAAACCCAACAATAATATTCCAAATGGTGTTCCTTTTATTGCTGGAAAGTACGCGTCTCGAAAACAAAACACTTATTAGTCGTGTCCATTTGTCAGTGTCATGCTATTGATTTTGGCTTTGTTAGAGTGTTTCTGAAATGCTCTTGTACTGCTGGACAGGGAAAAGGTTCTAGCTTGTGCTAAACACTACGTTGGTGACGGTGGAACGGTTGATGGGATTGATGAGAGTAACACTGTTATAGATCAAAATGGATTGATGGAAATTCACATGTCGGGGTACTTAAGCGCCATTGACAAGGTTGTGGTAACTGTTATGGTATCTTACTCAAGTTGGAATGGTGTAAAAATGCATACTCATCATGATCTTATTACTAGTTTCCTCAAAAATACTCTCCATTTCCAGGTAAAGATAATTTGTTCAACAATTGAAAACTCG